CGTACCAAGTATAGTATCATAGAATTTTTATACTTAGACGAGCGAGCATACAGTTTTCTGAAGTCACTTCTTGTTCTACCTGAGGAGATGCAAGGTGAAAGCTGAGGGCAAAGTGGATGCTCCATGTCAGACAAAATCCCTCTAGCAAATTTATTGCACGAAGTCAAGTGCCTATCGACAACGATGTTAACTATGTGGTCCATTGGGACACCACTCACCCTACTGACAGTCTTCAGCATTCTTCGAATTGTGACATAGTCCTTTTTAAGCAAACCAGGAAAGAATAAGGGTGAACAACAAAGAAGATTAGGTAGGATGCAAGAGTTTATGAACTGTAAGAGGAGGGGTTGGTTGAGTTATACCCGAGTGTCTTAACTTCTTAATGTAAAATGTCAGGCGGAATATTTTACTGGAGATCGCTAAGACATGGGAAGACCAGGAGAGATCAGAAGAGAGAATAAGTCCAAGATACTTAATTTCTGATTTAATTCCTATATCACTGTCGTCAATCTTACAACTGTCATGAGAATCGACGACTTCTTTTAATTGTCTTTTACATCCTAAGCTGAAATTAACATTTAGAAGGATTCAGTTTAAGACCGTTAGACTCAGACCATTTACTGACTCCCGACAGAAAGCTATTTATTTTGGTGCAATCTAGCTGGGAGTTAACTGCCATTGAAACTGTTAAATCATCAGCGTACTTCACAAAGTTTATTTCATCAGAGTGAGGCAAGTCATTTAAGAATAAAGGAAAAGAAAGGAGAAAGGGCAGCGCCTTGAGGGACATCAGCTTCAGTAGGCAATGAAGTGGAAGACTTCCCTTTATACACTGTGTACTGCTTTCTTTCTGAGAAATAGGAATGTAACCAGTTAACAGTCCACCATTCTGTTTGACTTGTAGTAAGTTTATTTAATAAGATTTCCCTAGGGACTGAGTCAAAAGCAGATGTATAGTCTAGGAAGGCACAACGAACAAATTTAGCCCCCTTGTCTAGTCTGGAAGCAATGTTATGATATAAGACGGCAGCTGCATCTAAAGTGCTTCTACTGTGCTTATGGGCGAATTGTTTATGGTCATTAAAGGATTTAAGCGAAGGTACAAGACTGAGTAAAAGTAATTTCTCCATAGTTTTCAAAAAAGGAGAGGTAATAGCAATGGGTCTAAATTTGACACATGCTCCAGTAGATAATTTAGGTATAAGTACAACTTTAATGTCCTTCCAAACGGCAGGCACAATATTACCGCAAAAAGATTTGTTAAATAGATCAGTAAGAGGGTGACACAGAATATCAGAACATTTTTTAAAAATAATACTGGGTACATAATCTGGACCTAAGCTCTGGGAAGGGTTTAGAGACTTGAGGCACTTTTGAACATCATTTGTGTTAAAACCTGGAAAGGGGCTATTATTAACACAAGTGATGCTGGGAAGCATGGCATTTGAGGGAGAGTAAATAAAAGATTTGTTAAGAGTACATACACCAAAAGAATACGGAATATTGTTTATCTGCTTACCACCAGTGATTTCCTTAAATAGTTTCCACATATTAGAAGGATTTTTGCAGGATATGAATTTATGGTTATATAATACATTCAGCCTCTGCATTTCAGACTTAATTAAGAAGTTAGTTCTTTTTACACCACTTTTAGTGACTCCAAGTTCTTCCGATAGAATTTGTGTGTATCTCAGGTGAAAAGTGGTACTTAATTTACAAAGAAGTTTATCTACTACATTTGTTGTATATTATTTTATTATTATTGTTCCCTTGGGTTCCTAGTGAAACATAGGGCTTCAAATGAACGTCTCCACTTGCCACTTCTGTCTTCCTTCTGCTGTACTTTTCACCTGCATACATGTTAGTTAGTCCATACTGTTTCAACTCCTCCTCTTCACACGATCTCCTCCTCTATGTCACCCACTCTTGCACCGACGTCCCACTCTCCGCTTCCCTTTCCGCCTGGTTCTACTCGAGCGATGGCCTGACGCGCGCGCGATGTCGCCCAGCGGCGGCCTCGTCAGCCACGGGTGTCCAATACATCTCAATCCACTTTCTCTTGCATATTTGCTGTAGTTGGGCGATTGGCTCTCGTTTTGTTTGTTCCCATAGTTTCCGTAGTTGGTGATTTTTTCCGGCCTGGCCATCTCACTGATCTTCAGTATAGAACCAGCGAAGACAGTTGTTGGTTGATGAAGGTCTGAAAGAGGTTGTTGGAAATATTCTTTGTGACCCGCCTGCCAAGTTTCTGATCCATAAAGAAGAACTGACTGACTTGACGTTGTTTGTATTGAAAATCCGACCGAATTTTGTTGTTGATGCTGGCTGAGTGACGAAGATATATATATATATATATTCTCTATTTTTCCAGCTGTAGCAGATACTGGTTGCATATACGCAGTATATTACTAAGAGAGAGCTTTGATTTCGAGAAGAAAGTGTCTAAAAGAATCACCAATTAAGTACGACTTACCAACTTATACAGACTTCTTCATACACAGTGGCTGGATCTGAATGTATAACCATCAATAGCCTGGCAATACTTCTGTGGAGTCATTATCTTTCCACATATATACATGTTTTATTCCTCCTTATCAACACATTTTCCATAGAGAAGACAAAAATCAAATCTAGGAGACATTTCCAATGAGAATTATGACTAGCATCCATTTGTAATGCTGAGATATCTGATTGATCAAATCAGAATCATTTGATTTTGGTGTCTATTGTTTACTCTTGCTTGTCCTTCAAAGTAATTGGTGAACTGTATCCATAATTTGGACTCATCTGACTGACTGATTGATCAAGATCACTACTTATTGTTATTATTATTATTCCTTTTTAGTTCCGAGTGGAATATAAGACTTCAAAAATACATTTCCACTGTGCTATATTTTCTCTGTTGTCGCCTTCAGCTGCCTAACTCCAAGGTTGCCCATAATTTTTCATCTGTTATCCACCACACGATCTCCTCCATGTCACACTTCCACTGAAAACCCATTCATCGTTTCTCATTTGAATTCCACTCGAACAAGTGGCCTGGTTGACGCGCGATTTCATTCGATGGCCTACTGAAAGTATGTTCGATCCATCTCTATTTTCTCCTACACATTTTTGCTGGTTTGTCGCCAGTCAGAGCTTCTTATTGCTGATTCTTTCTGGCCGGTTAGCTGAGCATTTGATCTTCAGTATGGAATCAGCCAGCGAAGTGGGTAGTTGTTGATGAAATTCTACAACAAGCTGTTGGAAATCCTCTTCGCGACAAGCTGGCAAAGTTTTTGACCTGTATAGAAGAACTGACTGACTGACTGACTGACTTCAAATTTGTGTTGAATAGTATCCTAATCTTGTTGTTTCTACTGGCCAAGTGAATGGAGAAATGATTTTCAAACTGGTTTCAGGTTCTAGAAGTGAAAATTAAAAGTTGTAAATTAAGTGGTATTCGACGGCACAAAGACAGAAATTTCATAAGGTTAGAATTTCTATTCAGTGAGTATAAAGGTGATAGTTGAGTGTCTGTCAATTAAACAAGTGTGAAAAGAGTGTGAAAATATATAAAAGGAGAATATGCGAGTGATAATAGTGAATTAATTATTAAAGCAAAAGGAAACTCAATCTATGTTTATAAATTCACCTGCTCGTGAGGAGCTAGTTATATTGGCCGCCAACACAAAGCACACACTTTCCAAACGCATCTCTGAACATTTTCCGGCATGGTTAGCAAGACAGTTACTAGGTCAATTCTCGAGCAATTGGTGAATTCAGGCCACTTAGTTCCATCAGAGTCGTCTTTGAAGATCATCTATAAAGTGAAGCCAAATGGTACATAGGACGTCAGGTTTCGGCATTTGTGTATGGCGGAGGCGCTAGTGATTCGTCAATACAACCCTGAACTCTGTATACAGAAAAAGTTGGTCCAGTCTCTTATTTCTACCTTGGTCTTAACCTCTTCACTAGTCGTTCCCTGTAAAAAAATTTCGATTTTTTCTTTTTTAATTTTACTTTTAGTTTGCATTTGCTTTAATAATTAATTCATTATTATCACTCTCATATGCTCCTTTTGTAAATTTTTACACCCTCTTCACACTTGTTTAATTGACAGACACTCAACTACTACCTTTATACTCACTGAATAGAAATTCTAACCTTATGAAATTTCTGTCTTTGTGCCGTCGAATACCACTTAATTTACAACTTTAAATTTTCACTTCTAAAGCCACTCCTGAGTAATTATATCAATTATGTCAGCCCTTTCCCTATTACTCAATTATAGGCCACTATATATATTTTTGTAAGTATAAATACGACTGTACACCCAGTCTCTGAAGATGATTTCGTCGATAAGGAAAATTTTCTTCGCTGAATTTGTCTTTTATTTTCTTTCAAGTATTGGTTTTGTAGGGATTTTGTTTGATTGCATGGAGGATTTAATCATGAGCTGACATCAGTTAGAGAACCACTGGAAAACCTGGGAGTACTGGACAGCTGTTTCGTCCTAGTTTGGGTCTCTTCATCAGTACGCACCCACCGGGACTCATGACTCAATGGGTATTTTCGGTGGTTTCAGGTTGATGAAGGTGTATCTCGCCTTTCCGATTCTAACTTTAACATCTTCATACGTCCCGCATGTCGTAGATCATTATTACATCCGTTCAGCTCGGATCACTATAGTTTAGAGTAACTCGAAATTCTTCTTTAAGAGGCAGTATTGATTAAGTATAATTTTCAGATCCTTTAGTGCATCGGTGGCACAGTGGTTAGGACTCTCGCCGACCATGCACATGGTCCGGGGTTCGAGCCACGCGCACACCTTGATATCTATGGTCGGCCTGCGAAATTTGGGCTACCGATATCCAAATGTTCAGTAAGACTGGAAAACTTATTTTTGTCTTTTTATGATAATTCTTAAGATTGATCTAATAATTTTTCACAGAATCAGATAATAGAATAATCTTTTCTCTGTTTTTTATATTCTTCTTCTGCGTCTCCTTCCAAACTAGGTGGACAACGTGCTGAACGTAAAAAATGGTTGCATTGTTTTGAAGGTGTAACAGCCATCCTTTTTATTGTTGCAATGTCTGAATATGATTTAAAACTTGCTGAAGATCAAACTACAAATCGTATGCATGAATCATTACAATTATTCGATTCAATATGCAACAGTCAATGGTTTGTTGAAACTAGTATAATTTTGTTTTTAAATAAAAAAGATTTATTCGCTGAAAAAATTGCCAGATCACCGTTAACTGTTTGCTTCCCTGAGTATACAGGTGGACAAACTTATGAAGAGGCATCAAATTATATTCGTGAAAAATTTGAAGATGTTAATCGTAGAAAAACAACGAAAACAATTTATACACATTTTACTTGTGCTACAGACAATAATAATATTAGAGTTGTATTCGATGCTGTCATAGATGTGATTATTAAATCAAATTTAAAAGATTGCGGTCTATTTTAGATAATTTAAACAAGAAAAAAAATAAACACCGACGTTTAAGGAAATAACTATGATTCAACTAATAGTTACTGATACAAAACAGACAAAAATCTTAATTGTCAAAGTGAATATTTCTAAATATGACTTTGTTTCTTTCTTTTTTTGTCAACTGATGCATATTGAACATATTGAACAGCTTCAGTAAAACAAAACATGTCTACACGTACGTGACAGGTGTTTAACATATTTGTATTAAAGTAAAAATGTACACATAAAAATAGTGAAATTTTAATAAAGAAAGCCTAATCTACTTCTCTGCAATTTTATTTTTTTTTTGTATAAGCAAAAGCTTCTTTGTTTATTTGTATTAAAAGTAGAAAAGTAATATGGACTGTTCAATGGTTTCAATTGAAGTGTACTCTTCAATTACATTTGAATTTTAGTATTCTCTCTTTACTCTTCTTTTTTTGTGATTAGCTCAATCTGCCTACACATACAGTATGTTTTCTAGTTTATGTTATAAGATTTACAGAAGTTATGTTGATTCAAACAAGTTGATTATGTTTTCACTGACAGATTGAATTCTTTTTCGAGTATTCCGCCATTGTTTTCTCTGTGTGTTATCATTATCATCAGGGGATAGGAAGTTTTTGCTACGAGCTGGGTATATATACATATATATATATCTCGTTGCTAAACACCTCATTTTCTTTATCCTTCTTTTTGTATTTGAAAATAAAGTACACTTAATACATATATAAATATACATATTAAAGAATAAGTAAGTTTTTCTTCAGCCGGCCGTCTTTATTAGCATATTATAGCTTATATATATACATATATATTGCTATTTATAAGTTATGACTCCCTTTAATCAATTCATTCAGCAGCATATCTCCACTACACTCAGTTCTGTGTCTACCTGGCACATAGTGCCACTCAGCAGTCCCCTGATAGTATTATTATTGTTATTACTGTTCCCTTGGGTTTCTAGTGAAACATAGGGCTTCAAATGAACGTCTCCACTTGCCACTTCTGTCTTCCTTCTGCTGTACTTTTCACCTGCATACATGTTAGTTAGTCCATACTGTTTCAACTCCTCCTCTTCACACGATCTCCTCCTCTATGTCACCCACCCTTGCACCGACGTCCCACTCTCCGCTTCCCTTTCGGCCTGGTTCTACTCGAGCGATGGCCTGACGCGCGCGCGATGTCGCCCAGCGGCGGCCTCGTCAGCCACGGGTGTCCAATACATCTCAATCCACTTTCTCTTGCATATTTGCTGTAGTTGGGCGATTGGCTCTCGTTTTGTTTGTTCCCATAGTTTCCGTAGTTGGTGATTTTTTCCGGCCTGGCCATCTCACTGATCTTCAGTATAGAACCAGCGAAGACAGTTATTGGTTGATGAAGGTCTGAAAGAGGTTGTTGGAAATATTCTTTGTGACCCGCCTGCCAAGTTCCTGATCCATAAAGAAGAACTGACTGACTTCACGTTGTTTGTATTGAAAATCCGACCGAATTTTGTTGTTGATGCTGAGTTGAGTGACGAAGATTTCCAGTTTGATTTCAGGTTGGTGAATTTGTTTCTCGCCTTCCCGATTCTCGCTCGATTTGACATCCTCGTTCGTTCCGACTTCCTGTAGTTGAGACAGTGCTCCCTAGATGACAAGTGAATGGAGTGAAGTAACCTCTTTCAAATCCCTCCCGTTGATGTTGATTGGCGCTGGATGTTGCTGCTGTTGTTGTTGGTTGGTTATTTTCATCACCTCCGTCTTGTCTATGTTCACATGGAGTCCAGTCTTCACTGTCTGCTTCTTCGATCAGTTTGTCGGTCGGTTTTCGCTTGTAAGTCTTCGATTCTGTGACAGTGACATCAAACATAAATCATCCATGCGCGAAATCCAGGTCTTCTAGGTTCTTCACGTCGGTCGGTTCAGAATATCCTTGTCTTCTCGTTTTCCACTCACTGTCTGATGCATAATCCTGTCCACCACAATTAGGAATATCACTGGTGATAATAATCATCCTTGTCTGACTCCTGTGTTTACTCCAAACGCCTCGCTGACCCTCATAGTATGTTCATTGCATTTCAATTTCCTTCGACAGATTTGGTGGCCTATCGGTTGTTAGTTACTTCATTGGCCAGGTTTTTTGTCGCTTATCGTGTATTCACTTGATCTTCTTCCATCTTGTCAGTTTTCGCCAGTATATCATCAAGGTTTTTTGCAACCTTAGATATCAGTCATCCTCGAATCCCAGATATTTTCGAGTCTTCGTTTAGATCCAACCTATGCCTGTCTTCTGTCTGGTAGGTAGCCCTCTCCTACTCCGCTCTCCACTTCAGTGACTTCACTGAACTTTCCAACGTCAATCACTTGAAATAAAGCATCACCATGAAGGTTGCTGAGTGAGGTTTGTAAACTTTTGCGGTAGTGCATTACGCAATGTTGAGGCGGTTTTCAAATTACCTCACGGCCGACGCTACTGAAGGCTTTTTTCATAGTCAGCAAAATTGAGGTAGAGGGAGAGAGAGACAGTTGACTATCGTTCTATGATATTTTTGTTGATGATGTATAGCATTACAACTTGGGCTGCACATGATTTACTTTTGGTGAATCCAACTTGTTTGGCGCAGAGCTTTGCACGCAGAGAATTTTTATAGTCCTTTTGGGATGATGTAGCTTGATGTTCTGCTAGAGGTGGACAACAGTATAATACAGCGCCAGTTCTTTCGGAGGCCTAAGTCATCCTTCTTCCAATGAGTAGTTGCCTTTCTTCCCGTCAAAACCTTCTGAGTTAGTGGCATGGGTATATCGGATGAGGTTGTCAGATCCTTTTTCAGTGCTTCTGAGTGAATTCTGTCTGCTCTTTGGGCCTTCCCAGCTTTTAACAACTTCTACAATTTTTTGGAGGACTGATGTTCTCTGACAAACGATTATGTATCGCCAAACAACATGACGTATGTGCAAAAACAGCAATGTTTGAGGAACACAGAGTTTGTGACTGAGTGTTGTCGCTCAGTGGATAGAGCGTTTTATCGAAATTCTAGTGATAACTAGTTCGAATGTTTCACGAAAAGGAGTTTTGTTTTATGATCCAAAATCAAATAGTTGAACATATATATATATATATCAAAGCTTCAGGGAGGTTATCTTACATAGCTTCTATGAAATAAAAGTTACAGTCTAATATGCTATTAAGAAAAAGTCTTTATTTAACTGTATGAATAAATTATGCAAGCGAAATATGTTACTAAAGACAAAAGGAGATAGCCTGTTAATTACTATGGATACAAAACTATAGGATCTGATGAAGTTATCGAAAGATACTCTTTGTTCATTAATCAATTTTTTGAAAGAAGGTAGTAAACATTTAGACGCTGATCTCATCTCAGACACACTAGGCAAGAGAACCTAAATAAATTTAACTAATAACCACTTCCAGGGTAGATTGTTTTCATTGAGAGATATCTAGGAAAGCTAAGCAACTTTGCAATTCCTCCTAGTTTACTGCCCTTCAGAAGCAAAGCACTCCCTTAATATCTCCATGGGAAATTCGATTAAAACATTCTAAGGCTTGAATCTCAACTCAGTAAGCTTTAGGGATCAACTGCAAGATCACTATTCAGTAGTTTTAGTGTTCCTATTAGATGACTGGAGGCAATCGGCCACAGGATACTCCTTGCCGATGAGTGCCAACTAGCACGAATGCTAGGTCAGGCAAGGCTTTCCGTGGCCTATCGCCTCCAACCACCTCATACCAACAATTCACAGTGCACCGTGATGGTGAGCCACCTAGTGGCATCGTGGCCATACTGCAAACTTGACTGATAGAATTCAGTCTGCAGAGAAGATAGGACTTGACAGACACATTACACTAGTTACTGACTAGTGTCCAATCAAAAGGTTTTAGTGTTCACTGACAATATGAGAGATGATTAACTGGGTTTTGAGTCAACAAAGATAACAGTGGATAGTTTAGATACGGTGGTCTCTTATGAACAAGATGGTTTAACTAAAAAGCTCCCATTATCTTTGTAGACAACATCTTCAATGAAAACTTTATTATAAAGTTAACTTATTCAGAAGTTTTCATGAATGACGTAGTTGTATCTTTGCTTCTCAAAATTTCTCCGTAATTCTATACATTCATTGATATGAAAGAATGCGTGTCGAGTCTTTTTACAGCTAGCTTTTATCCATGATCACAGAGTTGAAAGGGTAGACATCTGTCGGTGTTGATCTTGTTTTCCTTTGCTATTAGGTCTTTTGGTCTTTATTGTCAATAAAAACGATCAATATTGAAGCAAATCAACAACCAATCACAAGAAAGGTTTTCAGAAAATATACTTCTATCTTTCATGGAGTATTCAAATAAGCTGTCTTCACATTCAAGTTTGCACAGTTAAGACAATTCAACTTAGAGAATATAGAATCACATCAAAATCATCTCTCTGGTCTACTAATCTTCTCTATTCTTCCATAGTGAATAGTCTTGATTATCATTATTATTATTATTTATTTTACTTCCTTGAATACCGAGTGGAACAATTAGGCTTCAAGGCTGGTCTCTATAGTTTCACAGAGCTGGACTGGTGGCCTAACGCCTCACAAGAAAGTTTTAGGACTGTGTCCGTCAGGAATCGAACCCTAGACCACTTGACGCGTGTTTGGCGAGTACTTTACCAATGAGCCACTGATACGAAGTTTTGTTTCAATGTATAACTAATGTCTAACAGTTAAGAAATGGTGGAATGAATTCAAATCGTAGTAGACATTATTAACATTTATTTACAAAATAGATTTATTAAACTTGTATGAAAAATGCTGAGTACAGTCATTTGTAAGCATTTATAAATACAAGAATTTAGAGTATGTCAAAGCAAAAGTAGCTAATGAGGATATTCATCGAGCAGAATTCAATCACTTCGAGATATTTATGAATGATTTCGTATAGATTGTATAATCTATTATTATCCAAGATCATATTGAAACGGACCATGAAATAACTAGTCTATTTACTGAGTTGTCACAGTACTGGCCAGAAGTGATAACCTGTAGTCGGTCAACGCCTCCTGATAAGAGTTAATTAAACCAACGCGATACATTTGCTGACGACACTGACAACGTGCTTCATAGATGAATTGATTATACGGTAATAAACGCAGTGCTATCAAATACAAAAAGGAAGGAAAAAAAGAGAAAAAAGAAAACGAGAATAAAAGTTAAATATTGAATTTAATATATTAAATATTGACATATTAAAATTTTAGAACAACACCTGCATAAGCGAACAATATTGTGGTTTCAATTAGATCTCATCAGGCTTTACTCTAATATACACACATAACTTTACAAATAAAAATTCAAATATAAACCAATCATGGTGTTTTTGTCTATAGGATAATAAGATGGTGAATATAAATTGTACAATTAGTCATAATAGTAGCAATGATAATATTAATAATAGTAATAATAATAATAATAATGGTCTTTATGAATAATAAGGATGAAAAAGTGAGGCAATTTGAGATAACACGAATAATGAAAAACAGTATGATTAAGCAAACAATTGTTCAGGTAAAAGTAGTCGATAAAGGCTAGTAAAAACAAATGAACCGATTAAGTAATGTTAGATTGTAAGGGAAGGAAATGAAACACGTTTATAATGCAGATAAGATTAAGGGATGATAAGAAAGGGGTTGTTAATATAAATAAGGGGTGGTGTAGAAGTCATTAGTTGGTTATGTCTTAATAGGCCAACCAGGGAGGATGATGGCTGTACGAGCTTCTTTTGAATACATAGTTTAGGTTTAATAGTTCGAATGTCTATCGCCTCAGCTGTGTGCAGTAGACGAATACAAAGTCTATTGGAAAGATTCGGTGGGATACGATGAATTACTTTGAAGGCTCTCGTTTTCTCGACTACATGACTACTACCAACTAAATGTGACAAAATTGAGCTACGGATTGTTTCTGTCTGTCCTTTGCCAAACCACCACGATGGGAGATGTTCACTAACACGTTGGCTAAGATGTCTAGTAGTGCGACCAACATAACTGTTACCGAATGTGCAGTTGAATTTTGATAAATACATATAGATATGGTAAAACTATCTAGCTTATCCTTCGTTTACGTCCCAATCATTCGTAGGCTAGAGAATGACAAAGATAGGTGTGCTGCGTAAAACATTCTCCGTATAATCCTTGAAAGTCTTTGGAATAGAATCTCACTTGATAAGTCACCATTAAATTGTAACTTAATAAACAGAGTTTTCTTATGTGCAGTCAGAGTCTCAGGTTTTCTGTCCGATGTTTTCATATGTTTCTTTATGAAACTACTCGGATAGCCCATCTCCGTCAAGGAATCGTGAATATATTCAAATTCCTTTTGTAAGAGGTCATCCGTGCATATCTTTCTTGCACTGCTCGCGAGACATTTTACAACATTCCTTTTATATTTAATGGGCACGTAACTAAGGAAGTGTGTGTGTGTATCGCCCCGTGAATGTGCTTTTTCTGTACACACTTTTCCCAAATGATCCATCTTCTCTCCTACTTAACAAGACATCCAGAAAATGTAGTTTATTCTCCTGCTCCTCTTCACAAGTAAAGGTAAGCGATGGGTAGATGTTGTTGAATTTCAGCAACAATTCGTCTATGTTAACGTTCCAATCAGCTAAGATAAATGTATCATCGACATATCGGTAATACATATCCAATTCCTTGATGATGTCCTTTAATTTCCCATTTTCAAGTTTTGCGAGAAAAAAGTCAGCTAATATTGGGCCTAATGGTGAACCCATAGTTATTCCATCTACTTGTCGATAGTAAGAATTATTGAAGACAAAGTGAACATTCATTGTGCATTTAAGAAATAATTCTTTGAGGCTACACAAGGAGATTCCTAAGTCTAATTGCCTATCGGTGATTTCTTGACAAATATAATCAACTGTTTGAATTTAAAGCAAATCCTAATATCATTCTATCTGAAATATGAGACTAAAATAACATGAGAAAGTTAAGTCGAGGCATAATGTCTCTTCACAACCACTCTAGTTTTATGTTGAAGAAATAATTCCAAACGAAGTTTCTGACTTGTATAGAAGAACAGACTTATGGGTAAGACACTCGGCATGTCACAAAAGGGATTTCAAATAAGTTACAGACTTTCATCAACAGATGCCCGTTTGTCTGGCTGGTCCCATACTGAAGATTAAATGGTTGGCCGACCGACCAGAAAGAATTAGCAACAAGAAACTCTCTTTCTGGGGACAAATCAGCCAAGAGCCGATCGCTCAATAAATATGTAGGAGATAATGAAGATGGATTGGGCATACGCTATTGAGGAGTCTATCGAATGATATTGAGTGCAATGCAAGCCATCACTCAAGCGGAATGTGAATGGGAAGCATAGAGTGAGCCGTCGGTGAGAAGCTACTATGCAGGAGATTGCGCGTTGGGGAGCAGGAGATGAGAGAATATGGGGGGGGGGAATTGTTGACCCAAGTGGAGAGGATGGCAGGAAATGGAACAAAGTGGAGATGTATTGCTGAAGTCTTGTGTTCCACTTGGAACCCAAGGGAATAATAATAATAACAATAAATAAATACACAGAGGAGGATGAGCATGAATTACTTAGATCAACTGTTGATAGAGAGAATATTCAGTGGTATCAAGATGACTAGTTTTTTTTGTCGATATCCATAGCAAGCTAACCAACTAAAAAGCACCCATCAAAACACGAAAATAAGAATAAACATTTCGACGAAGAGTTTCTTTTCGAAGAATTCATTCGGTTAGCTATTGTATGTAATCGACTGTGTACATGAAGTTTGTCAAACAAGAATAAAAATTAATTTGGGTTGCTGTTTACGTCATCGAAATATTTCAAAAATGTGCGTCGGTGGCACAGTGGTTAGTACTCTCGCCGACCATGCACATGGTCCGGGGTTCGAGCCCACGCCGGCGCACACCTGATATCTATGGTTGGCCTGCAAAATTTGGGCTACCGATATCCACGCTGAAAATTCCATACTTGTACCAAAAATACAGTGTGGAATCAAGCTGTAAATCAAAAAAAAAATAATAATTAGAGTTGTAACTAGGGCGGTGTGAAGATTAGTATGTTTACACTAAGCTTACGTTATATGAAGGCCTTCAAAAGAAACTGGTTGTGAGTGGAAGACCCTGGAGACAAGTATCAAAATAAATTATATATAATAAATGAAAAGAGGGAATGGAAGGTAAATTAACAAAAAGATGATATTCAATGTAGAAAAATCCCTGTTTAGACATTTAGAAAACAGAAAGATTGAGCGAAGAAATATTTACTTTTCAATTAGATCTTCATCTCTGGCTGTACTCTAATATACACATTTTTTTCCTTCACGTTCCCCAGTGGAACATAGGGCTTCAAGCTAGTGGCTTGAAGTTTCTGTAGCAGTGTTTAATTTTACAGGATGCGGTTGCTAGCCTCATATCCAACCTTTCATCTTTACCAGCATTATTTCTGGCTTAGCGACGTAGGTAAAGGAGTCCATTGGCTGGGGATCGAAACCCAGACCATCGAAGTGATCGGCTAGCGTCCTAACCACTATACCACCGACGCACACGTACAGCAGTTTTATTACAATACACAGCAATTTACCAATCAAGTGGCACTCATATGTTTGTTTGTTAACAATAATTAGTCAGTGTCAAAATGTTAATGGGGTGATAATTAACGGAGAAAATCAATACACACACATTTCAAATGTAGAAATGGTTAGAATAAGTTAATTTTACTATGATAACATGTAGTTAAAGATGAAGCAGTCAGAAAAATAATACAATAATTTGGAAAATAATAATTTTATAGGTTTAGGGGGAGGGGGTGACACAGTCCTGTTTATCCATTCTTGTGACGATGGCCACGGTAGAGAAAGTGGCTGTACCAATTTCTTCTGAGAACACAGGTTTGGCTTCTTCATCTGGATTCCTATTGCTTCAGCTGTATGTAGAAGACGAACTCGTAAAGCAAAATTAAGATAAGTAAGAATGCGATGAATAATTTTAAATGCTGTATTAACGTCAACCTTATGCTCACTAGCATCTACAAGGTGTGCTAAAATAGAGCTACGAATAGATTTTGTTTGTCCCTTGCTTAACCATGCCGGATGATGTTCGGAAATACGATGATGAACCTGCCTAATTGTACGCCCAATGTAGCTGGCTCCGCAGCTGCAGTCAAACTGGTAGATACACATAGAGGAGGCGAATTTAGGTAGTTTATCCATATTTCTCGAACATAAAATAGGTGTGGTTGTAAAGAGACAACGTACCTCTGCTGCATAATAAGTTCTTTTAACTGCATTCTTCAGGCGCTGTTTTATTAGTTCGCTGATGTTGTCACCGAGGAACTGAAATTTTATGAACATTGGTTTTTTCAGCTTCCTATACACACTTCTTATTAGTGTGCCATCTTCTCTCCTTACCATGAAGACGTCTAGGAATGAGATACTGTCATTACTTTCTTTCTCTATGGTAAAGTTTATTGCTGAATGTGCATCATTAAACTTGTCAAGGATGTTTATTGCATCATTCTCATCTTTCATAACCACAAATGTACCTTTGAAATATAAACGTAACCTCGTGAAGTGTCTGGCTCATAGAGCTAGGTTAATCTGTTCAGACGACTGCCTCGATGAGGAGCTTAAGATTATTAGAGAATTACTTAGAAAAAATGGCTATCCAGATAAATTCATTGAGAAAAATATAAATTCAGCTCCAAGGAGAGTCAATATGGCCACAGTCCCGAAAAAACCAATGTTCATAAAATTTCAGTTCCTCGGTGACAACATCAGCGAATTAATAAAACAGCGCCTGAAGAATGCAGTTAAAAGAACTTATTATGCAGCAGAGGTACGTTGTCTCTTTACAACCACACCTATTTTATGTTCGAGAAATATGGATAAACTACCTAAATTCGCCTCCTCTATGTGTATCTACCAGTTTGACTGCAGCTGCGGAGCCAGCTACATTGGGCGTACAATTAGGCAGGTTCATCATCGTATTTCCGAACATCATCCGGCATGGTTAAGCAAGGGACAAACAAAATCTATTCGTAGCTCTATTTTAGCACACCTTGTAGATGCTAGTGAGCATAAGGTTGACGTTAATACAGCATTTA